ACACAAGCTTTCTTGCAGGATCAATAAAATGCTTGCATCCGATTCGCGTTGCCACTTTTAGCCAATTTTAAACGGACGTCCAGCCTGATCTCGTCGGGCCGTGACTCAATGGAACGTGAACAGAACCCCATATGATATGTATGTATATATATACGTATACATATGATATATATATATATACGCGCACGCAAAGCATAAAATATTACGAATAAGTATATATAATCATGTAATTACACGTGCACACGTTCGGATGCGCAGTTGCAATGTAATCTGTTAATATTCTTCCTGCGCGCATTAAAGAAAATATATACGACAGCCACGAGCTTCGATGAAGTTTTGCTAACCGTCATAAGAGTACCATTTCTTCGGTTCGATACTCATTATTATCTTGCGAATACAAATTATTTACCTTTTTAAATATAATATCGTCGATCAACGGTGTTGAATGTACAATTGTTAGCAGAACAAATTGTCTAACATAAGAGCATCCAATTTGGTATCCGAGTTTCATGTACTTCTAGTATCGAACGAATGTTACAAATCTTCGTGATCGTTTACGTTACCGACGAAAGAGATGAGCTAATCTTAATGAGTACGTAAGGACGTTCCGACCGTTTCATTTCAACGAGAATGCACTTTTCCGTGGGCCAACTGCATCGACTACCGAGCGAGTATTTTCAGTCCATCGATAAATCTCCGAATATTATTCGACCGTGTTTGCTCCCGTTAATTTACGATACGATCCGCGAGCCGTTCTCCCATCTCTCTCTATCTCTCTCTCGCTTCGTGCTATCGTGGCGTTCTCCGTTTAGACTGTTATATCATCGTTCCCGTTTTACTGCGAACTGTACGGTGCAACTCGTAAAAGAAAACGCGGTATCCTCAGTCGTTGCGCAACGTTTCGTTCCTCCTCGGTTTCGACCATCTTCCCTATCGATGGGATAAAAGGGTTGTTATACTCCACTCGTTTCTAGAATGGCGACGCCGACCAATAGTCGTTCACTAAAAATTCCAATTACTCGAAATCGCTGTTACAGTTGTGACCGTTAGACGGACGAGTAACCGTTTTCTGTTCAAGCGCGTTCGCCTTCTTTCTCAATTATTACATATCGTATCGATCTACGAGATCTAAAAATTGTTTCACGTCTCCATTCGTCACCGTCGATTTTCGCGAATGTTTTATCAATCGTCCCGCGATAACTATATTTACAGTTAGAATCGTGTGTCATTATCTTAATAATCCGTAAGATTATTCGCTCGAGCAGAATTTCCATTCGTCCCTTCCGCGACGTAAAGAATTCAGACGGACGTAAGCAAATGATGTCTGAGATTTTTACCAATTTTGCCGATCCATTTTTTCTTTAGGACAAAGAGAGAAGGGAAAACCGCGTCGAGATCGTTGCGCGCGAAGCAAAGAAAATTTGACGAATTTCAAGACACTCGCTTTATCCCGTTCGCCGTTGTCCTTTCTTTTGTGACATGTATTTCTATTGTCGCACGAAGATGAAACCGAGGAAAACCGAGATACACGTGACTGTATGTATATTTCTGTGTACACGGCATGTTATGAATATGTAATTAAATTCCGGGAATCTCGAGAGTCTCGTCATTCACATCGTCAAATTAGGGAACCACGTTAAATGTGGCATAGTTGCGATTCTGTTGAAATGAATGAAAGAGAACGGAGTAAAGGTTTTTAAAAAGTAAAAATTAACGAAAAAAAAAAAACCAGAAGTTGCGCATATTTTTTACGACGCCTCGCGAGAGAAACCCAAGCACAGGCGGATCTAAATGATAGCGTGAAAGAAAAAGAACGGAAGCTCGGCGGTATGGTACAGCTTGCAATGAGGAAACTTGCAATATAAACAAGCAATAAATAAGCCACTTTTAATTCCATGTATATTAAACAATTATGTGGATGCTTAATGAAATTTATTGAATTAAACGAGCAAAGGAAAAAAAAGAAACCCAAGGAACTAAGACGAAATACCGATTTTACATATTCTTACTAATCGTAAACGATTACAATACGTATAGTGACATACTAAATTATACGATTATGTATCGATTTAAAAGAGCAGATTTAAAACATGGTAAATAAATAATTATTAAACTAAAAAGCAAAAAAAAACAGATACAGGCTGCGGGCGGGTATCGCCACGCAGACGATAATGTCTAATCTACATAAGTACGTAAAAAGTTTCAATTTTACACTACCGATAATAATGACATAACGGTAAGGCTCTATATAAGATATAATGATGATTTATAATAATTATAACGTTGTACAGAATATTTATGAAAGGCGCGCTGCTGGCGAAAGAGCCGCGCGTTTCTCCGCGCGTTCGTCGGTCGCGGGCGCGAGAAATTCAAAAGAGGGGTGAATACAATTAAGAGAAACGGGGACGATGTGCGAGCACGACAAATGAGAGACGTTTGCCTTTCGCGTAATCAATAACAAATTGTTCTCGAGCTAGTTGCGAATTTGAAATTCGTCGATTAAACTTTCGAGCACCTGAATTATAATAAAATAGGTAACGGGTGCGAGCGAACGACGCGCGACTCTCTATCCAAAAGCGGCCAGACTATAATGGATGTTTTGTAAGATAAAAGCGAAACGATCACGGATTGTACCGTGATCGTGTTCAGAGAAATGTATAGTCGATTGCGTGTTCGAGGTCGCTCGAATTAACCCGACGACGCCTTTCTCGATTGAGGATTAAATAAGATGATTAAGAAAAATAATAAAAAAAACCAGTTAGAAAAGAAATAAAAAAATGAGCGACGTACGGAGATGAAGTTACGGAAACCGCGGCTCTTTTCTTCCGCGAATTATGTTCGAGCGTAGCGACAGTTGTGCCGTCGAAGAGCGATATACATTGCGGTCCTTGAAATTAAAAGCGAACGGGTGGAGTTTAAGCAAAATGAAAAAATGAAAAAAAAAAAAACAAATTGCGAGACAAAATAGTAACAAAAGATAGAAAGTGAGAGAATTTATCCGCCGCATGGTGTGTGGCGTAAGAAAGGGCCGATAATTTAATTCATTGTGTATGTATACAGACAAAAATAAATATAATATTGCGATTATAAATATTAAAACTAATAAAAGAATAACAACATTGTACCCCTCTGTACATATAAATATATATTATACGATGATTATTACTATATGATTTATTATAAATATATATATACATAAATATAAATATATCTCATGAATTCACATTATTATGTTTATTATTGTTTACTTATTATTATTATTGAAAATTATTATCACTGCGATGATAACGAGGATGATTATTATCATTATTATTATTATTATTATTATTATTATTATTATTATTATTATTATTATTATTATTATGATAATATTATTGATATTTAAGAAGAGGTTCACAACGTGCCGTGTGTATGTGGGAATAAAATATATAATATAATGGACATTGTTCAATTCAACCCAACGTCTTTGTGATTTTTCTCTGTCCTTATTTCATACATCGTCTCCTCATATTCGATCAAATCTAAGACGTAGTGATGGGCACCATCGACTAAAAACTATTGATTTAGTCGGCTAAATCTAGAACTTTTAGTCGGCGAAATCGACTAACTAGTCGATAGTTTGTGTTAATCGGAAGAAATATCGCTCTCGCGGTTATGCCTCTATATTGTGATCATAGCGTTCATATTTAAATAGCATTTTTATTTCGCTATTCTTGACCAAACATGATCTAAAGCATCGATCACGCATTACGCATTTTCGAGTCTAATTTATTGTAGAAATGCAT